CAGACAGAGTGAAGCTAACAACATGATTTCGTATCTCTCACATAATGGACTCCTAGCATGTCCCACAACCGCACTCCCATTTTCACCACAATTCTCTCCCCTCCCTGCCTGTTTTGTTTTCTTGTCATAAGCAACACACACAAAATTAAGAGATTTAGTGCCTGTGAGCACATATTCAGTCTAAGAATTTGATTCTGCTACCAGCACTAAATCCACAGGTCTTCTGCTCAATTAAAAAAAAATCATGCTCACATTTCTAGTGAAATAAGTTACAAAGCAAACCTTCTTTAGTTTTTAGAAAGTGAAGACAAACCTTTGCCAATGCCATCTAGAACAAGAACAGAGGTCCATTCCCCAGGTTTCTGTGGCATCTTAATTTAGCTGCTACAATCTAAACATTCTTACATGCCTAAATGTTGGTCACTTGTTTTGTTGTAGGCTGGCTGCTCTATAGGCAGGTAAAAGAACTTTTCTTAGGAATAATATGCATTATTCAATTCCCTACAAATTTCTGATTCAATCTCTTTCATTGTGTTGGCATGGAAAATCAGACTGGAACTATAAAAAGAGGCAACACATTTATTCACATTTCTACAATATAGATCAATGTATATGTGTCTTCAAATAACCTTTTTACAGTACTGTGTAATTTCTCCAATATGGAATTTTTAGAACAGAAAATCATTAGGAAAACTACTATTGCTAATACACTCTATGATGTCTCTCAATATTTTTTTCCAGAAAAACAATTGTGTATTCTTCGCATTTTCTAGGGTATAGTGATTAGGTAGCATTAGAACAAGTTGCAAGCAATGCCAGTCTGAGAAATTTAATTCTAAAATACTGCTTTAGGATATATTGATTTTACTACTTTAAAAGAGCATGGAGGAAACTATTTGGGGTTTTGGAGCCTGTGAAGTGGGCAAACAAAATCCTTCGGAATTTTTATGGAGCCATAGATTCAAGTATAAGCAAACCTTGGCAGCAAAGTAAATTTAACTATAAATTTAAGAGCAGAGTTCTTCCATACTGAATTATACAGTAGCATTAAACATGAGTAACAATGGATAAAAGCAATGAAAAATTATGTTCTTACCAAGAGCCCACAAATTTTCCCTGACTTTGCTGAGTAGCCATTTTTTTTTTTTTTGTTAGGACATGCCCTTCCCAAAGAGGAGAAGTCATGTCTGAGAACTCCATACTATGTCTGAATGAGGCTAGGGGCAATTTCCAGACTGAATGAGAAGGGGATGGAAGATGCCCTCACTTCCCTGCTGCCTTCTCCATTCTTGTGTGGAGTATGAGGGTGGACTAGATTTGCTTTGGTTCTACTTTTTCTGCTTGGAGCACCTGGCAGGTCAGAAAAAAGCCCATGAACATTTGTAGGAAAAGACCTAAGTGTAGTGTGTTTCATGCTCAGTCTGTGCACCAACCAGGACTTCTAAAGCAGAAGCAGAGAGAAGTCCACATGTCTCACCTGTACATCCACTTCAAACGGGGGACGGGGGGGGGGGGGGGCAGAGACTTGCTTTGGCTTTGTACCTGTGCCCAGCAAGTCACAGTCAAACCAAATTCCTCAAGATTCCATTCAACTCAGAGGCTTCAGATCATTCCCCCATGCCAATATAGCTTCAAGTTTTAGAGGAAGCGTCAGGCTCTTTTCACTTATCAGAAGCTGGCTTACCACTCACCACTGGCAAGGATGAAGATTAAAACAGCAGAATCATGATGTTTGGTTTGTATCTTCTACAGTATTTAACTAAAAGTTTATTAAAAAAAAAACAAAACCTCCCTCTTTCATTCTGAAAAAGAAAAGCTAAAATAGGTTACACTTGAGCAAATCTCTCCTCCTTGTATTATACTGCTGACAAAATGTGTACCAAATCTTATACATCACTAATGAATATACACAAATATTTTGATAATTAAGCTGCATTTTAGGCATACTGGCTATAAAGTAAGTTCAATTACAACAGAACTTCTAAAAATATGTGTCTACGGTTAGTAGTCTCTAAAATTTAACTGAACAAGAAAAGCATTTCCTAGAAAGCAGATAGCTGCAAAACATTTTGAAAGAAAGAGTGTTTCTCTATTCACTTGGAAATTTAAAGTGTCCTAGAAAAGTCACCCAATGAAGATGATTCCTTTAGCTACTCAATCTCATTAAATTACAGAACTCTCTCTTGCAATAAGATAGTCCAACTATTCTGATTTTCAAAAGCTAAACAGGAAATCAAGAACAAGATAGATTTGATTTCATGCCCTTAATTTAACTACCTAATACTTAAATTTGAAAGTTTGGGTAAAGTAACCTGGCATACTGCTTCCTCCTGACAGTTGTTTAAAGAAAAGCATCCACAGGAAGGATGGGGCAAGTTGTTTTTGAATAGGAACATGCAAAGAGAAAACCAAGTACCAGTATTGCCACTGCTTGCCATCACCCCAAGAAAGTCTTTTGCCTTTAAGCTTAGCTTCCCAACATTTTAACAAAAGCTCCACTAGAAGGAAGAATTACAGACCTTATCATCCCTACACAGCATGCATATATTTCACACACCCCATTACTCATATATACATATAACTGGAAGGATCCAGTATCTGTATTCCATAGATAGAAGGGCTCTGCTCAAAGACTGCCTCCATGCAACCCCACACTACAGTCCATATTAGTCTGCAGAAAGACAATGGTCTGGGAAAATCCCTTACAGTCAATTCAATTCCATGTGCCTTATTCTGAATAAAGCACATGAGTGTACACACACACACACATTGGGGTGGGGGGGGGCAGCGGGATGAGAACTTGAAGGGATCCTGAAAAACTGATTAGAGCCAATAAACTGGCTGAATAATCTGACTTTCCATGATAATCAGGTACAGGAAAAGTTTCCATGTAGTACTTTGTCTGAACATATAGTGATCTAGGCTTATGATGCAAGGCTGAAGTCTTATGCCATTTGCTTGGAATAAATCTCACTGAAGTTAAAGGAACTTATTTTTGAGTCTTTTCTTACACTCAGGTTTATGCTGTAATGAATAGACTATTACTACAGTACCAAATAGAGAATTACTCATAACAATTCAAACAAGCAAAAAATCAAAATATTTTTGTCTTCTTAAGGCTACATCAACATTCTGAACATTAAGCTCGTAGAAGTCCATGAACAATTCTGTTTTTCGTTCCAGATCAGCACCTAGCAGTCACCAAGATGCAGAATTTACTACTTATGACCATGAATTTGTCTGCATTGAGGGATCAGTATAGCCCCTTAATTCCTGAAGCAAATATATTTTACTTTAAAAATGTTAAAAAGAGAAAGGCAATACATAGCACAGAATGCTGCATAAAAAGGGTGTTTTTTTTTAAACATACCATACAGCCTGATCCACTTAATTGCCATGCTGTACTACCATACCATAGCAAAGCAAAAGGGCTAGTCCACTGAACATTAAATGTATTTAATCTAGCATTCTGATGCTTCCTGTCTTTCAGTATGCTTCAGTATGGTGATGGCAGGTTGAGAGATTCCTTCCAGAAAGCAGTTTTCCCCTCTTTGGAGAACCTTCCATTGTGCTTACACAAAATTACATTCAAACAGAGCTTTCTCCCCTTTTACTTGCTTTTTAACAAGCTATTGGAAGGAGGGGAAATCCACCAATGTATCTATGCAGGAAGAGGAACTGGAGCCACAGGAAGTGTTGATGTTCTTGAAGAAAGCTAGGTTTGTGTTGGATTTGTGGTACTTATACCTTGGATCTATATAGACAACGTGATGGGAGTTGGGAGAGAAGCCAGAGCAGGACAGTGGTGGAAAAGGCCTTTTCATTGTCACCTGTCCTAGAGGCCCAAAGAAGAGACCTCAAACAGACTACATAAATGGATGGAATTGACTCTATTTCCCCACTGGATAAGAAATAGTACACCAATCTTTGTTTGAAAACTAGTACCTGGCATGCAAGGGTGCTAAATAAGACTATTTATATATTTACATGGATTTCTTAGCTATTCTTTAACTAAAGTCTTTCCCAGTTGGTTTACAATAACTACTACAACAAACGATTCTATCTTGGGATAACAAACAGAGTACATTACTTTAATTTATGGTAACAGTAAAAATTACATTTACATGCAAAAACTAAAGATTTGTTTTGCATGCAGAGTGGACTCCCACATTCTCTGTGTGTCTACAATTTCTCTGATACACTATCACTATCCATAGAAACAGCTGCTGAAAATTCCTCTGGATCCATCTGCATTCTGTCTAGACAGAAAGCAGTAACTAAATCCATCCATGTTTTCTCACCCTTCCAACAAAGATGCCTAAACTAATAAAAGTTGGCTTTTCTTCCTCTCCTCACACTCAAATACTGATTAACTAGATAATTGTTGCAGCAATAATTATCCGACAATCCACTCCGTTCATATGGGGAAATTAAATAGCAACTAAATAAACTGATAAAGAACATATATAGACACCTTTATAAAGAGTTAAATGAAGATCTGTAAGTGAACACACACATAAAAGCATCAACCATGTTTTACCTTTTGTATCGCCCCATTTTAATATTACTATTAAACGAACCTTAGTACTAAGTCAAGTATTCTAAAAATGATCCAAATGGGAATCAAGTAAAAATGTGTGTGTGTGTGAGTGAGCAATGGGAACAGATATGCTACCTTGGCACCCTTCTCACACGTTTCCATCTCCTCCTAAATGTGGAGGCCAACTTCTGAAGAAGTGATCCTATTGTCGCGATAGAGGTTTTCCCTATGACTTGGGACATGGTTTTCTGAGGTTCTAAATCAGAAGGGAAGCCAAAATTCTGTTCTTTCAAATGGTTATCCTCTATACATAGATGGATATAGCAGGGAGGCATAGCTAATGTTCTCTTCTCCTCACACAGTCAGAATGTTCTTGTTCACTGAGGCATCTGGGAGCAGTGAATGATCAAGCTGGAGATGAGACAGGCTATACATTTCACATAATTAGATTATGTCCTACCTTCCACAGCTCTTTTGAAGAATACTTTGCAGCTACCACAAGTTAGGACACCATAATGACACCCAGAAGCCTCATCTGAGCAAACAAGGCAGAGCTTGGGAGGTGGTCCCGTAGTTGTTGAAGAGGTAGATGGTGAAGTGCTTACATCAGATCTCATTCCAGGGCTGAAGAAATAAAGAAAAAACAACAGAAAATCAAGAATTGTATCAAAAAAGAATATATAACCACGAAAACCTTGGATCTTGGTTACAAACAGGTCTTTTTCCATTAACAAGTCTATCACCAAAACCAATCTCTCTCTTTTTTAAATACATATTCCTTGTACTCACACTCATACTACTATGTTGCATATTATAATGATACATATGCATACTTAGGAGATATTGCATGTTTGGTTCCAGACCACTGCAACAAACTGAATATAGCAATAACTTGGGTCACATATAATTATACTTTTGGCTGTTTGGGGAAGAGGCCTACCTTTTGGCCTATCATGGTATTTGACATGCCTTCCTCACTTCCATAATCATTACTAGTTTCCCCTCACTTTAGGGCTATTACAGTAATTTGCATACACACTGTTGTGTCTCAGGGGACAGTGAGGCCTGAAGGGAGGGAGAAACACAGAGGAATGGTTGGGCAGTGGAGCAGTCAAAACACCCCAAAATAATTACAAAGATCATGGTAACATCAAAGATTAGAGATAACTATTACCAATAAACCATATAATAATGAAAACATCTGAAATTCAGTCCAGAATTGGAAAAACTACATTACCAAAATGGGAGACACGAGACATGAAATGAGTGATCCCTACTGGAAAAATGGCACCAAGGACACGAGGTCATGTCCAGGAAATGCAATAACTGTGAATTGCATTAAAATGTAGTAAACCTGTTTATTTTATTTGATGCATTCACACTACCTATTAAAGTTTTGAAATTGTTTTAATGTTTCTCATTGTAATTTGCCTTGTGACTAAAAGGTAACGCAGAAATATTTGTATTGCAATTAAAACATAAAAATACACAAATGCTTCAGATTTTATTTATTTCCTGTCTTTTTTCTTATTTACAGAATGCAAAGCAGCTTACATCGTTCTGCTCTTCCTGCTTTCAATCTTATCCCCCCAACAACCCTGTGAGGTAGGTTGGAGTGAGTGTCTGTGGCTGGCCCAAAGTCAACCAGTGGCTCCATGGTTGAGCAGGGATGAGAACCCAGATCTCTTGAGTCCCAGTCCCAGGTTCTTAACCACTACACAGTTGCTGTATACAGCAATAGTAGCTGTAACAAGTAGTACACTTTATTTAACAAAATGTTAGGATAAGTGTGCAGTCATTATTGATATGGAAGACAGAAATCCTGGATTTAAAAAGATTACTACTACTACTACATTAACATTTAGAAATCTAGTTGCCACAATCCACTTTTTCCTTAACAAAGAACAAGTACATTGGGAGCCTACTGTCTAGCTGCCTTTAATCTATGTAATTTTTATCTCAGCAAATGGTGTTAGGATGTTAGCTGGAAGTCAGCCTAGATGCTCTTTTAAAAATACTGTCTTGAGGCCATTAAGATCAACATAACTTTTAAATGCTTCAATCTGCACATATGATATTTCATAGAGATAAAACCACAACACTTCTTGGGGAAGAAACATTGCAAAATGATTGGCCAAGCAACAACTAGAATTAAGCTGGTTGCTGAAGAAAGTTAAAACCTGTGATGCAATTACTACCAATAACTAGAACTCACAGCAAAAGATGCAGAGTTTTGAGATCTGCTTAGGAAACCGTTAAGGTTTAAGTGATTTATTTGTCACCTTTCTGAACAATGTTTAAGACATTACACCTACCCATAAACTGTGGTACCTTGGCTCACGAACTAAATCCGTTCCACAACTATGGTCACGCCCCAAATTTTTTGTGAGCCAAGTCAAATTTCCCCATAAGGTTCAATGTAAATAAGGTTAACCCATTATGTGACCATTTTTTTTAAATCACAAAAATTTGAAACAAAGTGACAAAGAAGAACAAAGTAACTAAGATCAACAAAGATTGCAGCTATTCCCCCCCTCCCACCAGCACAATCACAGCTATCTCTCCCTCCCCTCCGCACGATTGTGGCTATCTCCCCCCCGAGCATGATTGCAGCCATCTCCCCCCCTGAACACGACCATGATCGTGCCTGTCTTCCCTGCACGAGTGCGACCACGATTGCAGCCATCTCCCCACCCCACCCCCCGAGCACAATCATGGCCATCTCCCCCCCCACCCACAACCGTGATCGCACTCGTGCAGGGAAAACAGGCACAATTGTGATCGTCACCCAATGCGGAGTTTGCGACCTCAGGCAAAATTTTTCTGAAATTTCTGTTCGTGACCTGATTTGGTCATGAACTGAGGTGTTCATGAGCTGAGATATCACTGTACTTGAGAATGCACTGTTATTTATGGTCCTCTAACTCAAATAGGCTAATATTTTGATTGCAACAATTTTGTCATCATTTATTTTCTAAGCCTGCCACTTGCTTCTATACTGTATTTTTCGCTCTATAAGACGCATTTTCCCCCCTCAAAAGTAAGGGAAAATGTCTGTGCGTCTTATAGAGTGAATGTGTGTGTGCCCGACGCCCAGGATGCTGCCAGCCACCTGATTCAGAATATTTTTTTTCTTGTTTTCCTCCTCTAAAAACTAGGTGTGTCTTATGGTCAGGTGCGTCTTATAGACAGAAAAATACGGTAATTTATTGATAAAATTTTCCAGACTTAAGTACTCTGAATTCTCCCAGAAAGCAGGCTATGCCCCCATTCAGCTCTCATCAGGGCTTTAAATGGTACACATTGCAAGGGATAAAATAACAGCAGGATCTCATAGTAAGACAAAGACATCCAGCTAAACATCAGGGTAGAGAACCAGTCAGAATACAAGGCAGTGTGCCTATAAATGTAGACCTCTTCCCACCAGCAAATGAGTGACAAAAAGAGCTGAAGTTCAAAGCAGAAACCTCTTATCTGGGACATCTACCAACTACAGTTGGTGTCCAGGAGAATCTCAGAGACTCAAATCCATTTCTTCTAGAGCATACCATTGTCACTATTTTTCTTGACCACATGCTGAAGGAACAGAATATTCTTTCAGCATCAGTGGTAAGAATCAAGATATGAATATGATCCTTTCAACTTGGCTGAATTTCTGAATTGTCCTTTAGACTTGCATTGTACTAAAAACCTTGTCTCTGTTTAGAGGTACTATATTTTGATATCAGCATTTAAAACCTTATTAGCAAACTGGGCCCACTGAATGTAAATGCTGGCAGCTATGAAAACTGTTAATTTTAACAAAGTTTGATTTTTTCTTTAAAAAGACTGTTTATTGAAAGTGTGTTATTTTAATTGAAAATTAACTCCGAACTTCATCAGTCCTTGCTGATGCCCAAACAAGAGTAGGTTTTAGATCTTAAATTCCTGCTTTTCAGAAATGACTGCTGCTTTACTGTTCTCCATGCCCTTTAAGAAAAACTAGTTAAAATTTGTTTGCTGTTTTATGAAGCAGCAAAATGTGTAGAAACTGACATTTAAACATTAGATTATGGGAGAAAGTGAAACTGTCAAATCAATCCATTCAGGAGGATAGGCTTTGCATGTTTAGCTGGTCTATTTGCAGTGCTGAGCTAGGGTTACCACCTTATTCCCCAGCTGACAGGCTCCTCATATTTAACAGCTACATGGCAGGCAAGTATTTCCAGGAATAACTGGGAACTGCTGCACCTATTAAATCTTGCCAGTACAGATGGGCAAGATTTTCTTTAGTTCCCTTTTTGATACACATTCATCAAAACTGAAAAGTTCTCCTAAAGATAACAGAAAGACCTTAAGATTTAAAGAATTCAAATGAGGGGAAAAGGGAAACTGATGATTCAGCCATTCATACCTTTAAGCAGCAGTGCCAATCAGCTATTCATCTTGTTAACCCTGCATTTAATATCCCTACCTAAGTGCAATATTCAAGCATGAAATTGTATGGCCACTGACCTGTGTATTTATTACCATAATTATATGCAAGGAAATATATAAAATAATCTTGAACATGTATTAAAAGTTTTTACTAGTTTACTACAGAGGAAGTTATGTAAATCATAACTGATGGTCTAGTTTTAAAAGTGGACTAGACAAATACATAGACAACAAACGTATTTAGCCAGACCAGCTAACAGAACTTTCATGTTTGGAGGCAACATGAGGAAAAGCACCAATCATTGGAGAGATCTCTGAGTGCTTAAGAATTTTTAAAATTTGCGCTCAACATGATTTGAATGTAATTCTTCCCAAGAAGCAATATTATAAATCTGTAATACCGATAAATATAATCAGTGCCACCATCATCAACAATTTAAATTATAGTTTTATATTCTTTAGAATCATGATGATCTTGCAAAAAGGTCAAGTGGAACTACACTGGACTAAATAAAAAAACAAAAATGTTTATCACCTGGGAGACTTCTTTCCTCCTCACATCCCAGTAGCTCAGAGAACTAAATGATGGAACACCAAGTTGTTCAGAGGTTGATAAACAATGCTAAACTACAGTGTGGGGGAGGATGCAACATGAAAGGTGAGGGAGCTCTGTTGAACTATATGTAGAAGTGATTGCACAGTGGAAGAAATATTAAGCATAGAAGTTTGACATATAGCAATAAAAACCCTTTGCTAAAGATGCATATGCACAAATCTGCATTTCTCAGTTAGCTTTCAGGCCAAGTCCTTGCCCTATGTAATAAACAGTTCTCGATACTCCCCTTCAAGGATTGCCCCCCTGAAAGCAGCCTTTCCAAAAGGAAAGACAGATGTCAAACAGTGCTGCCTTAGATGCTGCTAGGTCTGGACATGATGAACCTTGGAAGGAGAAGGTCACTAACAGCTAAAATGTTGCTTTTGTAAGTAGAAAAGAAAGCACTTTTTGATATCTGTTGCAATTACAACCTACTCAAGGAGGGGCAGTTCTAAAATCTTAATCAACTCCCTCCTATAAATGTAACTTTTAAAGAATGTGAAAACACCCTGACATAAAGTGTCAAACAAATTGGAAAACCATTAACTGCTCATAAGCTCAACATAAGAAAATTACACACCATTGCTGGAAATATGCAATGGCTTTCTGTATT